AAAAAAAAAAGATCCCTTCCTAGATCCCTTCCCTTCCTCGAGCGAGCGCTAGCAGGGAGAGCGCTGCGTGACCTTGTGTGGAGGACTTTTACATTCAAAATATCCGGTGCAAAAAATCAAAATTACTTTAAAGAATGCTTATCTAACATAATTCATTATGTATGTCATTGGATTTGTCTTTTTACGCTCGTCATGATAGACTGAAAAAATATGTATAGTTTTATTTGTAAAAACAGTTACCTCAAATACCTCGTAAAATACAATTGTTAAAACAGAAATGAGTGCACGTATCAATTAGCTTCATTACCTCATGCATTCCGTTAAAACTGCATTACAATAACTTCAACCGTTAAAAAGATATAGGAGATGCTAAATTTACGTGACTCAGCTTGTATGTTAAAAGATTTTAAAATTCCAATACCTCGAAAACATTTATCTTATGTAAAGAATGCGATTGACCTTTCTTGTGTACAATTATATGAGAAATGTTTTTGTGTAATAACACTTTTCTTTATAAAAAATAACGAACGAACAGTTTGGATGAAATTGAAAGAAAATGTAAAATTGCAATTTGAGGCGGGGGGATTGGGCTTGCACCCCCCTTCTAGGGGAGGAAACTGGCCTAACTCTTTTTGCTACATTTCCAATAAATGTATTAGATTAGTTACAAAACTTTATCAATTATTTCTCCTTTTTTTTCTAATTTGCCAGGACTAGTAGGACGCTCGCTCCAGCGTTCGGCCATAAGGATGGAAGTGAAGGTGAGATGCAATGTATGAATGAATACGAATGACAGAAATCATATTGAAGGTCGTTCGTTATTCTTACCTCTGTTAATAGGCGCGGACTGCCGAACAAAAACTAGCTTAGCAGTATACTGACCCACTCAACTATTCGCGCCCCCATTCTTCCTCAGGTTTTCAATGTCATTGCCACATCTAGTAGCTGCCACAGCATTAACCAGTCACGGACGGCGACGCGATAGTCCGCTATACGACTAATTCTAAAAACATAGATTATTCCCATAACCGGACACAAGGAATTAATTTCGTTTTTAAAATTTGTGCTTGTGGTATGTACAAATTAAACCAGTCGTTTAAGTACAGATTTAATATGTTCTGCAATTTTTTCCAAGTGATTTTTCTGCGGAGAGTGCTGCACTAGAGACCTTATGACACTATCTTATGCGGACGGGCTAAAGCGTTCATGTGCCGATTCGCCTAATATATTGTGTTATTCTACGACGCACGTTACTTCTCACGCGTCAATGTAATGCTCGTGAGCGTGTGCTCTTTAATCTGGCCTATACTTCCAAGAAGATGGTGAGCAATACTATTTCGCTAGAAAAGTTGCCAATGTAAACATTGCAGCAATAAATATTTCTGATGTTGACAATATTTCTTGCTAGATATGCCGATCGTAGTGTAAAGTGTGTTTACATTCTCGGAAAGATATTGCCGATTGTTGCTGGGACTAGAATTGGATTGAAGTCTGAGCAAGATATTGCTGGAAGAAGCCAATGATGACCCCGGTCACATGCGCAGAAAGTATGGTTAAAGCAGTACATCGACGTAATATTTACACTGTAATATGCATTTCTTTCGTAAAATGGGTTTGTGAGAAAGGTTTACTACAATAAAAGTAGTAATAAATAATCCCTTTACGGTTGATTACCAAAGGTTCAAATTTTGGTTCAGCTATAGATGCTCCCTGATTATTATTTTTTTACGTTAAAAATTATTAAGATATTAATCTAATCCAAATCAATTTTAAGGTTAATCTATAATAATCAGTAGTAGGTAGTGGATAGTTTAAAACTTTGTACCGAATTTGTAAATTTACTTTATATTAAAAGAACATTACTTTGTTCCCACGAGAATCGAAATCCACGAAATCATTTAGTTTCATGAAAAATATTAAGACATTTTCACCTAATTCGCACAAGCCCCTTTTCCTTCTTAAAATTTAGTCACACATCCTCACAAATCGTTTAGCACAATAAGGGCCGGTTTCACCAACCAGGATCAAATTCGTAGTTGATCCGAGTTTCGTGATCCTGATCCGGAGTCAAGGCGCGACTTGATCCCTGTGCGTTTTCACCAACGCTTTGAGACTTCGAAGTTGATCCGGATCCCCATGATTCGTGAGCAGTGTGAAATGCGGCGGTTGGCAACAATCTTGCAATGCACATTGTGGGTATTTCTGCGGTCACGCTGTATTCGTTGTTTTGAATTTCATTCGTTCCGTCTGTGTGTTCTGTTGCGTGTGGTAGTGTTTCTTGTTCGTGATGGATTCAATTGAACGTTGAAAGAATGCATAGACTACGCCATATTTCTCTCCAGTTGAAGAGAATTACTCGAAAGCTTAATGACCAAATACAAAGAAAGTTTTAATCGCTCGTTCGACATTTCAAAACAATTGTTCCTTTTGGAACTACTTGTGGTGTTCTCTCCCACAATAAATCTTCAATGACTTCATTAATTAATAATAATATAATAATAATAATAATAAAATAATTAATAATAATAATAATAATATAATAATATTTATTGAGAAATTCGAAACATACTCCATTTTTACGACGACACAAATTAATCTAACAAGAACAAAAATTGAAAGAATTACTACACTAAAAAAAGTATTCAATAAACTATCCCACGCCAATTGCAATACAGATATCAAAAAATGCTATTTTACTAATGACCTTATAATTACACTAATTTGAAGCCAAAATATAATTAATTTGACTTCCAATACCGAGAATTATAACCTACAATTGTGTTAACCCTACTTTTATTTACAATACTATCTTAAAAAACACATTTGCTCAACAAATATTACGGCGCAATCCTCTTTTCTTAGCGAATACTTCCTACTGAATCTAAGTCAACAACAGGTATTTACTTAAAAATACGGAAAACTGGAATAGCTAGATGACCAAGACGAGAAATAACTCCTGATCTGGCCGTGATCCACCGCTCGGCGACGGATCAATTGCGAGTCAAATTTGATCCGAGTCAGGCACGTTGATTCGTGCAAGTGCGTGGAGAAACGTACAACGGGATCAAAACTGCAAGTTGATCCGGATCAACTCGGGATCATCTTTTTGATTCCTGGTGGTGAAACCGGCCCTAAGTGCGACCGCAACTCACATTTGCCCTCCACTAGTTATGTCGGAAAGAGAGGTATAACCTCACTTAATGCGCCATTTTCCTCGTCACCAAACACGGAAACAAATAGTTCTAATGTTAAACAATCAGCAATATCTTGCCGGAAAGATCTTGCTCAGATCTTTCTCACAATATATTCTCGTGCTCTTGCTAGTGTAAAGATGACCGCAAGAAGCAGAAACAAATTGCTGAAAGATATTGCTACTGTAAGGCCAGCATAGGAGACCTCGACCGTCCGTGGCCTTCCAATCCCTGGCACGTCCCAGTCGTTAGGCGTTTACCTTTCCCTATACCGACTTTGATACTTAAATATCATTTGTGAAAATTATTATTGAGAAATATTATTTGTAATTAAAAAAATCACTTGCTTTTCTTTTGAGAGACGATTACCTCTTTAGAAAATGTGAGAAGAATTAAGAATCCATATCGCCACGTCATAAAACAATCATTCCTCTCCCATGTAATCCCACTGAATCAGCACCTACCAAAAAAAATCTGCATCCCAAAAATAAAAAAAAAATCGTAGGAGCTTAATTGGGTTAAGCTGAAATGAAAATTGTTCAACAAATGTTGTAAATATTTGTTATTGTGAAACCATAACGTGTAAAGTCTTACGGTTGACCAGTAAATAAAAATTCTCTATTATGTGCCTTTACGTGAGTGAAAATTTGCGATCGTAAGTCACAGGCGCGATAATGACTTGAGTTAATGATTCTTATTTTAGATTTTATGATGTATTGCTTTTAATTAAACATTCTTTGGTAGAGATAGAAATTGACAAAGAGGCAAATTTTATTTGATGTTACTTAAATGTTTTTCTCACCAACATTCTCACCCTCAAGGCTCTTGGTGTAACATAAAGTAATCTTCATTTTTGTAATTTTAAGTAACACGCTGAATAGTTATTGAATATTTTGGCATGTACATTTCCTGAAATGGGTCTAGTTGCAAAAATAAACACTTTGCTCCTTTTGCACTTAGTAAATGCTGAACATTTTCAAAACAATGTATTTGAAGGTACATTATTATTTGACACATTAATTAACCTCAGAGCAGAAATCTTATGTTCATTTGGTAGTGGCCCAGTCTTCCATTGTGCCTGGAGGTGTAGTCTTTGTGCTGTATGGACCTTGCATCTGTGGTGATGGTTGAAAAGGTGGTGGTTGTTGGGATGGTGGTGGTTGTCCATAGGGATATCCTCCATAAGTAACCACCGACACTCCTTGTGGATATGGTAGAGGCGGTGGTACATAAGTTGGCGGATAAACATATCCTCTCGTAGTTGCAAATTCCTTACTCAGTTCGTTGTGAAAACTTCCAACTGTGAATAACGCCAACAGACTCATGACTGAAACAATTAAACACATACGAGTTATTTATTTGCATTGTTAACTTGTGAATTCCAGAATTTGATGAGTTCTGAATAAATAACCTTGAGAACGTTCAGATATCTACAATATTTTATAAAATAAAATAATTTAATCATAAAGATTTATCTAATCATTGAAATATGTCAAAGTATTTAAAATATTACTGAAGTTCCCGGATTATCTAAAATAAAACGTGAGGGGAAGAAGCTAAACGCAGCCCGATTATAAAGAGATTTTCTGGCTTTTAGGGTAAACATAGCCAGGTTGGATTCTGTGGAAGGATTACGATCTAATGTGAAGTGAAAGATAATACGTTTAAAATTGTGTTATAAAGTATATAAAAATGTATTTTGTCCTAAAAGTCCATTTTGATGTTGATTATGACTGATTCATAGAAAAACGTAGTGGGTATTTTGAAAATAATGTCCATTTCACAACTGAAAACTGAACCTGAAAACTGAAACTGAAAACCACCTTTAAAATGTTACAAACATCCATTCCAAGTCGAAGAAATTCAAGCTCTCTGAAGAAATCACTTTCGTAGTATATTCCAGCTTTATTATAGGTTCAATGATCAGGATTAAATCTATGCATTTATTAATTTTGTTTTGTAGATGATGAATTTTGCTGTGTAAAATTTATGTTGTATATTGATTTATATAATAATGCATAACGATTTATGGAAACTCACCTAGAAAAAATATACCCAAGACTGACGTGAGCACAATAAATCCTATTTCATTTTCGGAGAATAGATAAGAGATGGTAAGTGCTGTGTGCAATGCAATCCAGCACATTGAAGACATTAGCCAAGCTGTCACCCAACCTGATGACCTCTGGAAAAAGTATTGTCAACTAATTTATTGAAATTGCATACGAATATATTTTGTAAATCAGCTAGAGATATTATGGGTTTGTTGAGAGCAAACTAGAGAAACCACACTTAGCAATTTGCAGGGACATGGAATATTCGAAAACCTTTTCATCGAAACATAATTGTACGAGCATTTTTGTCAAGATATTAAAAACGAAACAAAATATATTCATTCATTGTAATCAGTTTACTTTTTGAAATACCTCTATAATAAGTTTTAGTATTAAGTTATTATCATGTCCCATTCTGTAATTGAATTAGACTCGCCAGGCTGCAAGAATAACTAGATTACCCATTGAATATTGAGTGCTCAATTAAAATATAGGAATAACTACTTAATAAACAAAAATAATTTATGAAAAAAATATGCAGTTAGAAAGTGATCGTTAGGTTTCTTAGTTTGAGAATGCAGTTTTGTTTTCAAGAGACCAATATCTTCGAGGAAGTCCGTAAATAATCAACTTGCATATGTTTGAATACTTTCGAAAAAATAAGGCGCTTAACCTCTAGTGAGGTTCGAGGCCGTCGGTTCCTTAAAGAGTTCTTCTGGAGTTTACACACCTTGCTTGCTCCCCAAATCAGGCCTGCACTTGTACAAATTTCTAAGCCGTTCCAGAAGGTGAGAAATGCAAATAAGTTGGACAAAACTTTGTCCAGGCCGACAGTTGGAGCGCAGATTCTACGAGTTGAACCTGCAACATATTTTTGAAAGGTATTGTGACCATTACCAACAAGTCAAGACCATTATATTTGAAGATGAAATGAATTAACAGCATGTAACAAGACTACAATAAAATTGGCATAAAAGGAAACTCATAGTTTCATTATGAACAAACTTTATTGTTAATAAAAATGGCTAAGAAGAACTTTCATCTAATGAAAACGAGACTATGTAACTTACTATTTAAATGAAAAACACAAATTCTATTATTACAGCTGCTCTTAGCTCACTAAAACTCAATAAATTTGTTGAGGGGTTTTAAAAGCCGCAACATAAAAATGTCTATAAAATGAAACTAGTGGTGTTACAAAATGGAGCATACTTCTCTTGGTAATTACGAGTACTTCTATTTCGAGTCGAGACTACCTCGATGTGTCCCTCCCACTTCCCGGCTGTCATCCTTCAGCGCGTAAGAGTTAAACCAGAGCCTTTCGCGATTAACTGCCACCGGCAAAGGTAGCTCAGGACATCAATTGATGTTAATTCGTTGCCTCTGACCGGGAGGTACTGAGGTTTGAACCCCGAAGATGGCACGATACTCGACAATAGCTTGTCAGGTCGAATCCAGCCGCTGTCTGGAGGAGAATTCTAGCGGCTGGTCTAATCGTAGTTTACCGTGCTTTCTCCAATGAACGCCAGTGGAATGCTGGAGCTGTACCCTAATAAACGGGCCACGCACAACGCGCAATCTTTCCTTTCTCTTCCTTATCCTATCCTCATCCTGTACTGCGGTGCCCTGTTGGTGGGAGATACCTAGTTGAGGAAAATGCCCGGTAGGTCGGCTTCTAATCTCGCCATCAAAGCGGGGGTCACCCCCTCCTCCCGCCATAAAAGTGCACTACGTGTATGGGACTAACGTCCTAAGCACTTGGCGCTCCGGCATCACTAATAAATCAAAGCGACAACTTCCGTTCCCCTGGAAATGAACCCTAGTGAAGAGCTTCTTTGTCCATCCCGAGCACAAACCCAGGGTAGCCCTTAGGCCCTTCTCGCTTCTAAACAAATTCATATAAGCCCGTGGTAGCCCGTAAGTCCATCTGCGAATGAATACCATTGTTTTTTATGAAGGGAGACAAGTCGTGAGTCAATAACGCACACAGATTGCCCACAAATATCACACACAGTCGTCGGTTAGGGCATGTTTTTTTAATTCAATTGTATTTTAGTACAACATTCAGCCGCGACGCTCTTCAGTTGATTCACCGAGTAACTTTGTATCAGCGAAGTGTGAAGGCGTTTACTTCTTGTCACCTCCCCGACAGGGATTACATTAGGTTAAGCCATCAAGGTTATTGCGAGAATAATTATTTAAACATTCGTTGAAGAGCGATGACAAAAGAAAGAAACGCGATGGGAGAGGCAGGTGAATGCAAGAAATGTTCTTACCTTATCTAATGTCAGAGAGATATTGAAGGAAAATGGGAAATGGGAGTCTGTTTCTTAGGCGAGAGAGTGGAAGTTGATCAGTTCCTATTTCGTAAGTGCCGCTCCATGTACATGATTTAAAATATTGAGGAGATTATGTGCCAGTTTCGTAATAATGGAAGTAATTACTTCTAATGCAAGATTGTTGGGAAGTGTTTTATTGCTGACAAACCACGGGTATTTACTGTTATTCTTAAACTGTTTTGATAGATTTGCTACTTATTTAATGAGGTTGGGGCAGCTGAAAATCAACAGAGCATGCGTAAGTTAATATCAGACGAAGAATCGTTTTGTAAATAGTTAATGAGGAATGAGTTTTTAAAGAATAGTTACGGTTGAGAATCGGACACAAAATAGCGAATCATCTATTGACGTCAATTACCTTGGACGAGATGTGAGTGAGCCAATTTAATCTTGTGTCCATGAGAACGCCAAAATAGCGAATAAATGGATTTAGAAGAGACCAGGGAATGATAAAAGATCAGGGTATGTGGTTGTGGAAGTATTCGGGAGCAGTGGTGATTCCCGAGGAAATCATAAAAGTCAATAATAACTGAAAACATCCATGCTTTATACAGATTTGAAACCACCGCCTTAATTCTCTGTCCGTGTGCCTCGAAGTCAGTCAACTTAATGCTTCTATAAGTAACCTTAATTAGCAGACTATCTAATAAGTTTCAAGTTAAACAATTACGAAATATTTACATTTTAAAATTTGATACATGCAAAACATGTTTCATTTCATCTCGTGGTTGTTACCTTCATTCGGATTATGTACATTAATATTAAATATTAAAAGATATAAATATTAAAAGATGTAAGTAAACACAGCTTAATTTGCGTATTAAAAGCTTAAGTACAAAACAACCTCAACTTACTACTTCTGAATTATTTTTCTATATCATTTACACCCTTAGGTACCTAGTACAAGTCGAAATTTTTCGGTATCATTTACACTGGTATGTATTATACGCGCACGTTTTCAGGGGCCCAGAGTAAGGACCATCACTTCTTTACTATCATTAGCTTACTTGAGAATAAATGGTATCAAGTAGAACCTACAAGATATGTACAAGAGTACTGACAAGAGTGGTTGTCAAAATCCGATAACAAGAAATATTCGCTCTCGAGTAATAGAAACTTTGCATTGAAAAACGATCTGCAGATTTTATATGATAGTGCTATCGACAGATTAATCAAAGTCGGCTAAACTGACAATGGCGCTGTTTAGCGTCACATAGTATGTGACACATACTCACAACGACTGACATTACAATTTCTGAGCGAAGAAATCGAATAGGCTACTCAGAAATTTTGTGAAGAATTTGTGTTGCATCTCATAAAAGTATTTGAAGCAAATACCATTAACATGATATTAAAATAAATGAAATAAGTGAAAATTCATTAAAAATTGTGGGAAAACCTAGAAAATTACTTATTAGGCGAAATCGACGAAAAATGCAAAAAAAAAAAAATCATACACAACGGGTTATTTCCATTCTTTCCATTCCATTGTCCATAATAAAATAAATTTATATACTAAACGGCATTGTTTTAAAGTGAAAAGAAAAAAATCATTAAAATCCGCTCTCTACTTATTACCATAAGTAACAGCTAGGCAAAATAATTATTAACAGTGGAATTCCACCTAAAGTTGATTATAACAGAAACGAAATCCACAGAAGTGACTGCATAGTAAACCCAAGAATTTAAAATATTTTCCTTGTTTATGAACCCCTATTGATTTAATCCCAAACATAATTAACCAGTATTTCAGGATATATGAAAATCATTTTGGTTTCAATATTTGTCTAAGTTATGCCTCTACTTTTTAACTGTCCTTTAAGAAATGCCTCAGAAGCATTGTCTTCAGAAAAATACACTTTGGGGCAAATGAACCTGGTAGCGGAACTCACAGCGTGATCTCTGTTCTGACGTACCGTAAGCACAAAATTCTGTAGAAAAACTCCATACCTGGTATGTAAAAAAGCAGTGATCTCATTGTGAAATTGTATGTATTCACTTTTGTTGTAATGTGTATGTTTCTGTACAGTCATGGTCTTTATAAACATAACTACAATTTCACACCCACACCCTTGCACTATGTCATGAAACTCCAATCGATTGCCACTCGTAAAATAAAATAATAAAGAAATGATGGCCGATAAAATTCATTCTATTAATTTTACATTATTAATATTTGGTGTTTGTACTACAAAATCGGTGAAAAATAGAACACCTGTAGCTCACTGCCTTACATTTAAAGTAAAAATCACGAAATTTGGTTTAGTAGAAAGCTCAAATTGCTTTCTGAAGGAACAATAAAGTGATTTAAATATTACAATTATAATTACTATATTACAAATTGCATTAATAAATTGAGCGTGTACAATTTAATCTAAGTTTCAGTGACTATAAAGTTTTAATTTTGTTCTTGTTGGAGTAAAATTTGGAACCCTTTTCTGAAAAAAAAACCGTCTTAAAATTTCTGAAAACTCACAAATTTAAGCTCTTTTACATTCAAAAACATTTTAGATTCAAAGAACGTCAACAACGGATCATTTGAAGCATTTCTAATGACTAACCCATTAAATTATAAAAAATTATAACGACGTAACGAATTATATTTAAAGAAGATTTATACGTATAATTTTTGAAAATATTAAACCTTTTTCTGAAAATGTTACGTAAGATGTAGTATATTGTATTGCGCTCTATTCAAACAGAATATTTAGAAAAAAAATTGACCGTTTTTTGAGGAAATATTGTTTGTTCGCTCACGTGCCCGCGCACAACTCTATAACCTACGCCGGTTACATGATTTTCACATCTCGCTGCGACCGCCTAACAAATTAGTTCGCGGCCCAGGGTGTTACGCTATCAGCGAATGTATCACTCCGCACAGAAAATGATTCGTCCTCCTGGGTCGGCGCTCTCCGCCTCACTTTATTGTGTTCGTCTGTGTGGTGAAGTGTCTTTAACTAATACAGTGATTATTGATTGTATTAAGGGTTCATTAAGTGCTAATTAACGAAGTCTCTCTAAAACAATTGGCACCGGAAATCCGGCATGCGCTGGACTCGGCCAGTATATTATAGATGACTTATCGGTGGTGAACGGCAATGCTGGGTGCATGGAATTGTCGTTCGCCGGGCAAGTCTGTATGTCTCCTCCCACTCCCGCTCCATCTCAACAAATGGAAAGTGATCGTTCAACGAACCCGAAAGCCGAAGATACTCATTCGTTAGAAGAAACTGGCAACCTCGCCTTTACAACTGTTCAAAGGTATCCAAATGGCTTGCCCGCCAGTAATTCGCGCAAAAGACTACCCTAGCGACGACATATACTTAAAAAAATCAGCAAAGACCAAAATATTCATTTCATTTATGTCAAATAATAACGTAATGGCAGGGAAAATGTTTGAAATCGCTTACAACGTAGAAACTAGGAACAGATTTCACGTTCTCTCATCAAAGATACTACCTCAGAATCACTCGTGTGTACACCACCAATTTTTATTCATGTCGATCATTACAAAATGCTAATAATGACTCAAACGTGAAACACTGTAACAATTTTACTGCCAAAATCGTCAACAAAACTGTAAAAATTAAAATCTTGAAGTCAAAGACTACAGAAGTATAAATAGTTCTTGTAAAGAGAAAGTGTAGATTTTCAATCGTTTCAGAGATACGCCCATGGATTATAGAGAGGACGAAATAACAAGTGATCTCATTGCCCTTGATTATTCAGTAATAAGAACAATTAAATTGCACAAAAACAAAATCCCAATCCCATTATTTTTCGTACACCTTGATTGTAATTTTGACATAAAAGAAATATTGAAATTAAACCCTTTTTTAGCAATTGTGAAGATTGGACATAAAAACAGACTGTAAATCCCAATTCAATGTAAGAGATGTCAGAGTCACGGATACACTCAATCAAATTACCGCAAACCCAGATGTGTAAAATGTCGAGAATTACACCATTGTTAACAACGAAAGAAATCTCAAGAGACACCGTCTAGATGTGTGAATTGCCTAAGAATTCACACTATAAATTGTGGCAAGTGTTCAGTTAAAAAATCCATTAGAGAGAGAAAAACAATTACCTAATCACACGCAAAACCAAGTGTTACCCGACCTCGGTAACGAATTCCCTAGTTTGCTTACAACTCACAGACTTAGCACCTCTCAAGGCACAAATAATCTGTATTACGCAAAAGTAACAAATTCACAATTTACGCTCAAACACGTTGAGTTGCCACTTTCAAACTACAGGTGCTCCAACAGCACGTTCTTTCTCGCATTATTTGTAATGGTTCCGCAGTATTATACTACTAATGAATATGAACTTGAAAAACGTGTTTTCAACCAGTAACATTTTTATGTCCGCGCCGAGACTTGAACTACGTTTGCGAAATTTCGGACCATCATGAATAATGAATTATATTTACCAAAGAAAAAATATGATTCACAGAAAAGATCGATTATTATGTAAACGCTTTAACAACATGGTTTACAAAATCATTACGGATTCAACTTCACCAGAACCAAAGAAAGATGAAATATGAAAGTGTATATGAAACCTAATTAAAACAAAACGTCGTTTAAGACACATACGGCATAATACAAGATCTCCCAACTCAGCGAAATCAACAAATAAGGTCGACCCGTAAGGTCACATCTTGAGAAACACAGGTAAGCAAATTTCGACGACTTTTGGAAGTACCCCCAGGCACCAGATCTTAATTAAAAGCGATAAAAATTATTAAAAATGAAAAGGCTAAAAAAATTTAACATTTAAAAAAATATAGCTGTGGATTCTGATCAAGAAAAGGCAAATGTTCTTGATAAACATTTTTCAGATATACTTAAACATCATTCAAGTATAACTTTACGAATCTTATTGCATGAAATTACAATACGTTTCACCGTAAACGATGCAATTAGAAATAAAAAATCTACGACCAACCTTCTCAACAGGGAATGATCTAATACCTAACAAGGTTCTAAAAGAGTTTCCCAGAATGGCCAGTATTTACTATTTAACAGCCTTGTTTAACGGAGCTTTGAGGTTAGGCTACTTTCTAAAATCATGGAATTCATGGCATTTAAGATAGTAGAGATCAAATCAGTAGAATGGTTCAGTTTGAATCGCAATGCTTTCAGTAAAAGTAAACTAAAATTATTCTATTTTAGAGTTAGTAAGTTGATACTTTTATTTTGCACATGAAACCTTTTTATTTATAAATCTTTCTGTTTATGTAGGTTTACATTGAATGAAGGATTTTATTTTAGCCAGAGTACACTGCATAATGATAATTAGTCGTTGCTAGGAAATGGTAGTCGGATTTGGTCCTTAAAGGTCGTGCGAATACATCTGGTGAAAATATTAAGATTGACATAAATAAACTTACCGGTCATGATGTCCTCACGAAAGAAGTCGTAAATGCATATTCGAGACCATACCCAAGTAACATAAATACCAAGGGGGAAAAATATAAACGCCACAACCTGTGAAAGAATGCATTCAATGAATATTGAGTTACTGTAGAAATTTTCTTTCCCGTAGCATTTACTCCATACTCCACTCAGAGAAGTATGTAACGTAGGAAAAAGTATGGATATCTGGATAGCAACCTGTTTTTGTGGGACCCTGAAACCGAAGAAGTGTTTCTTTCTTCTCTCTTTCTACCTTTCTCTCCCTCTCTCTCTCTCTCTCTCTCTCTCTCTCTCTCTCTCTCTCTCACCTCTCTCTATCTCTCTCTCTCTCTCTCTCTCTCTCTCTCTCTATATATATATATATATATATATATATATATATATATATATATATATATATCCATCCTTTCGTCAAAATACATTTTTTGATTTTAAAATTCAATTTGCTTTTCAATAACTTTAGTTTGTAAACTAAGTTAGCAAACTAAACTTGTTGTTTAGACTGATAAGCAGTGAAAGTTATATAGCACTATCTTGCCATACTGTTTATTTGAACTGTTCTTCTTAGAGCTAATAAACTGACATCTCAACTTATTTTATGTTGATAATTGATAAACTATCGTTGTTGGAGCGCGAATGATTACGCAACATGACTTATCTGATTGAGGTTTATGATTTTACGAAATTTAGTTTGTTCGCCGGTATACTTGTATACGCCCACTACCCGTAACCGGAAATAATTGAACGTGATTGTTTACAAATGCAGAGAATTATTATAAAAATCCTAGACAGACTATCGTTTTCAGCGAAAGTTGACTTATCAGATTGCTCCCCGAGGTGAAAAATTCTTTGTGGTTGTAATGTCTCTCTTTACTACCAAGAAGACAGAGCATACAGAATTCTGTGTAATTTTTGAAAATTAAAATGTTTTAAAGAAAATAGCCATTATACCGTTTTGTATACAATATCATTACCAGTGCAAAATGTTTAAAGAAACTAGTGGGGCTAACAGCACATACTTTCTTGCATTATTGGTAGTGGTTACGTAATATTATAATAGTGTAACTTCTAATCCAGTTACTCTTCAGCACGAAATGTTCGAACCAAACGGAGAGCCATAATTATAAAAATATTCATTTATTTTTTACAATATCAAAATGTATATGAAAAAGAATTCTTATCCATGAATTGAGTGTAATGTGCTCTGTTCCTACAAAACAAATTAAAGAGAAAAAAAGCATACCAACGTATTTTCTGAGAATAGATTCGAATACGTGCGTTGTGGATGAGAATCGGCGTGCTATACTGCGATTTTCGTAGTTCTGCCCCTGGCAGGTATCCCTTGCATGTGCTTGCTCCCGATTGGACGAAACATCTAAAACAGCTGTTAGCTGCCAGGGGCAGAGTAGCATAAAGGGCAGTTTAACTACCAACGATTGTGAAATCTGTAATCGCGTGTAATGCGTTATAACAGTCGCAAAGTTACTGAGATTTTCCACATTTCTTCTCGAAATTTCGAGAAAACTTGATAAGATTCTTTGATTCTCAAATAAGTGTACGTGAAATGATTTAATGATCTAATATTGAGGTACGAATTGCATTATAGAATAAATATACAGTTTTAATATGTAAAGTGTAAAAATATTTTTAATAAATTGATTTTTTGAACTTTTCAAATGTTTGAAAATTTTGTGAAAATAGAACATATATCATTTCCTTAAGCGAACTTAACTCGTAAGTATAAGTAATTGAAGACAACATTTGGAGCTGATTTTCGAAGAAAATTTTTAATACGTATTTTTTTGCCATTATTTAATTCAAAAGCAAGCAAAAAATGAATTGTTTATGCACTAGGTTTTAAATAGAAGATACATGTTTATTGCTGTCAGAAAAAAACGTTAATTCCTTTTATAGATTACTCGCATAATTTTGAAAACAATTAGTATTTTACGAAACTGTATTTTATCGTATTTTGTTGAAATGATAGTGTGTAACTGATCCTCTACAAATCATTTTGAAAAACGCGATTCTTCTAAATAAATACAATCGTACCGTTCTTTATCCAATAAGATCATTCAAAGGTTGGTTATTGAAGTGTAGTTGTCCCTAGAAAGGATAATTTTTTATGAATATAAAAATTATAGTAATGAAAAAAGAATTATATATTAATTTTGAACGAAGACTTAAATTATTCCCAATAATCTGACATATTAAAGATGACCATATCACGATTGAAAAACTAAGGTAGTTTATGTATTTGCATGATTTGGATTTGGCTCTTGAGAATAAGTACATCTGTTAGTGATATTCACTGATGGCACTGCATATTTACTACGGATTTTTATTATTTCATTTGTTCGTGATGATCCTGTGTTCGGATTTCACTTGTTTTCTAAACTTTGATGTATCAAGAATATAATACAATAAACTAGCTGAACTGATTACATCGCGCATATTGAGAGTTGTGAATACGTTACCCCAGAAAATACTGCATTTCCATGAATATTCACATTTTTATATCATCAGCATGTACCATTCTCGATGCTTTGCTGCGTCTGGGATCCCATGGCACTGTCAGGGTTCGCTTTCTCGGCATTCTATTACTCCCACTATACACCAGAGAAAAATATGATGTACTTCGTACATCATTCATCAATATTAATATCAAATCAGTAACATTAGCCAACATATACACCACTACATCATATTTTACGTTCATTATACTTTTGCAGACGGCGGAATTAGAAATTACTGTTGTTTTGAAAGTGAGGGCCCGCCGATGTCTAACAGCATGTTAACAATTCTGACGCCAGCCAACACAGTACGGGAAAAAGTGTTCGTTTTGTTTTTGTAGTTTCTGTGTAGTCTGCAAAAAAATCAAATCCATTTAGGTATGCGAGATTGCGTTCTGACAGTAAATTAATTACAAATAATGTAGTGAAATATTTTCGCGAGGAAAAGGAAAGGGGCTATTAATACCATTAGAACGACTTACGGCACTGGAATACAACACTTTGTCATCAACAATATATGCTATTCATATATGGCATGGAAAATATTTTTATACAAAACATGGTGAATTAAGCGCAATTTTCTTAAAAACAGCTCCAAATGTTTCGAAGAAAATTTTCATAGCTAGCCGGGACCAAAGGAAAAAGAAAACTAATACGGGAAAGACTGTACCATTCTGCAGCCCCACTTGTCAAATTTATTTTTGATTTATTTATCAAAAAACAGTAAAAAAAACTGTATGTGGCATATGGGGGAGAAAATGAACTGCGCACTTTTTTGAGTTCCAGAGTCCCTTCCCGACATTTGAACTATAAATAGTTATAAGTAGTTTAGTTACAGTTATAAGTGAACTATAAATAGTTGAAAGACGAATAGAAGTTTAAAACAATAAAATTGAAAAAAGCGCAAGATTAGCAACATTTGAAAAAAAATAAACATTTTCATTCCCGAGTTAGAGAAAACTTATTTGCATCGGCAAACGAACACCAGATTTGATTGCCCACAAAATAGCAATTCACCCCCAGCTCTACTCCTTCCACTACCCCCCCCCCAAAAAAAAAGAGTTCAACAAAACTTGCGCGTATTGAAGCTACATTTATGCCCGGAAGAAAAGCAAGGGGCCATGTCAGCATTTGCTAAAAGGATCAAGGAAACTGGACGAGAACCTAATCGAGATGGGGTCATTGACACGGAAGTTGAAGTACTTTACTTGTTACAGGCACATTAAATCTTTTTTAATTATACAATATAAATAAAAATTAATGCATTACATATCATTGTTTTCTTGGAAATAATATTATTTTTCTTTTTGAAGTTAAATATAGTCTCCAATTGCATAAAAACAATTATGCAGCAGAAAAACTTATAACTTTAACTTTAATTTATGTGCCTTTTTATGTAACTTTTACTTTTAACTTTAACTAATGTGCCGACTTTAATTGTTTATTGTTATCTAGCAATGCGTTGTAAAGTAACGTAGTTCATGTATGTGAATTACTTGTAGTGAGCCGTTGATACTGACACTGTGTTGTAATTATGAATATCAGTATTGTATGAAAATATGTTCCCACCGTTAAGTAAGTCAGTTTTCACAAAAGTTACAGATTCGTAATTAAATAGACACGGCAGTGGTAAAATTCAAAGCTTAATGAAGAGAAACGTGCAGGGCTCACTTGGATGGCATTTTTTCATTGTTCGAATAATTTTCGTTTGCAGTCTAAAGGTCTGGGTACTACAGGATGAAATTTCCCAGAATATCATGCCATATCTCAGGCGCAAATGTACATTTGCAAAATACACGCAACGAGCTGCCTAAAGGCTGACAGAATTTAAAAAAAATCAAGAATGCATAACATAAAGAACTTAATTGAGGGTTTAATTCTGTTACATATACATTCCATTTGAGGTTTGATTGAATTGAGATACCTAAACATTTTGTTACTTTAACATGAGCTAATTGCGTATTGTTCCTTTTCAATAGAGCGTGCGATTGCCGATTTGAAATACATTGAAAACATTTTTTACTTTGTTAACTATTAATTTGTTATTACGAAACTAATTTGAATCTTATGAAAACTTACTATTCATAGTTTCATTTTTGCAAAGAACATTCGGGTCATCGGCAAACAGATGTATTCTTCCGTTTTTAATAGATGAGACATATCGTATACGTATAACAGGAGGAGATCGAACCTTGCAGGACCCCATGTCCAGTTAACAGAGAAATGGAAATATAAGTAAATAATATGGAGTTTTACCGTCACGCGTGAGGTAACGGCGTTATGCACTAACAGTCACGTGACGGACCTTGAAGTCATAACGTCTTACCTTAGGCTTAAAGTACGACCTTATACCTTCATAAATATTGCACGATTGTGGGCGTCTCTAAGGTCACCTTACAAGCGGCAAAATGGACGCCTAAAAAGTTGAATTTTTCAAACTGTGGCAAACCGATTCTCGTATGTGAAGCAGTTAAAATTATTCCTTACCAACACCACAACGCTGGCAAAAATTAACGGGATATGTTGGAGAGGTGACAGGAAAGAAATTCTCGAAAAAGGAGTTCAAATCATATCTTTGCGATATGTTATGTCTTACACCCAAAACGAATGCTTTTTTAATATGTTTTCTATATTTTCAAGAAAAACAGATTCAAAATTCCAGACTGCATACTCATCACGGAGGGCCACAAAATCTAAAACTCCATGTACAATGTATATTTGTTGTTCTGTTGACTCGTAAAGTGTTTTTAATGTCTGACCACTAGTCTACACTCTTTGATATATTATGCAATTTCTTTGTTCAACGCTTGAAATGCTTTTTTTGTTATAATGCATAACGCAAATTCGCAATTGCTGAAACTCTTCTGAACGTTGTTCATTACGACCGTATAAAGGCGTTAGTCACGTGATCAATAGAGTTTAAGGATATCTCCTTATGCCTGCCGCTAAAACTCCCTAATGTCCTTTAATTGCGAGTACTGTATTTCTTATCTCTGAGATTGATGCTTAAGGAATGCGGTTATCCAGTCCAGGTCAATACCGCGAATTCTAAATGACGGTAATTTTGAGAGCAGGATGTTATGGAGCTCTAATCACACCAGCAAATAATTCATCTTACAATAATATGAAAAAACATATACCTGATCTCTCTTCATCAATATTATTATTATCATCAAATCAATATCATTAACCCAGATATAAATCAATTAATTTTAATTGTCAGTTGAAAATAACAAAAAATTACAAAAGTTCTGCAGTCTAGCTGTGATTAGTAATCTTAAAAGAACGAAATAAAATGTTTGTCCCTTTATATAAATATTTTAGTGATGACCATAAGCAATTCAGTCATTACGAAAAAATAAGTAATTGCTGTTATATATTAACACAATATTCATATTTATAGTATAAAAATCATTGTAAATATAAAACATGTGAATGTAATTGGAAATGCTGTATTTTCTGTGATAATTTTTTCTCAGCTCTCCTTCAGCGTGATGTAATCGCACAGGTTTAGCTAGTATATAAAAAAATTCATTTGTAAACGGTAAATAAATAAAGATGTTGTCAGGTATCAATACTTTTCATTCAGCTTATGATTGTTTCGATCGCATAGCGATCATTCTCAGAGCTTGCAGCTTCCGTGCCGAAAACAAAGTTCTGTTAGGCAGAACTTTGTTTTCGGCCCGGAAGCTGCAAGCTCTGAGGATGATCGCTATGCGATCGAAACGGTCATAAGCTAAATAAAAAGTATTGATACCAGACAATATCTTTATTTATCATAATAAAAAGGTATCTACCTCACCAGCGATCTAATTAATAATTGTAAACGGTAATCTTCGTAATTGGTAATCTTCGTTTATCGAAGATGCTTATGTCGCCATCTTCCCGTTTTTATTCTAGCCGCGCATTTCAAACAACGCAAATTTCATTTATCTTTTATTAATTATATAAAATTATTAATAAAGGAAAGCAGCAACCTATTCAATATATAATTTCCTCCACTCCTAATGTTTTCTCTTTTGGTACCTCATTTGTTTAAAACCGTTCTCTGGGAGCCGATTAGGAGGGACATCAAAATCAGCCTTTTTACAGCTTTAATATATATGATAATACTCGTTACGACTCACCATTGCAAGCACTCCCACTACAATGGATCCAGCGCGTAAACTGCAACAGCAACATCTGGTAAGCATTCGATTTAGGTCGCGTAACCTGAAACAGCAGGATCAGTGTCAAACTGATTAAGGGTACACAGTGTTTGACGTTTTTTGGAAAATCTATGATGCATAATATTTCTGGGTTTCCTGATCCACCTTTAACACGGTGATCTTTATCCAGATTTGTTTCTTTTGTCTCCTCATGTATGTGTGCCCCCTGCAGCGAAATGGAATTATGTGCTAAAATATTTCTAGAAGTAAAAAAGTCCGTTACCTACCCATTAACCTTTAATCAAGCTAATGAGCTCTGAGCCATTCTATATTCCACTAAGATTATGCTCTGAAGACTCAGATGCATGCCTCTGCCTATTCTATCTGTTGCAACAAAATAGCTAATTCATGAATTAGAAATTAAGGAAATGTCGGTAATTCGTGAATTAGCCAGTAAATTCGCGCATTAACTAGGCTGTTTAAATAAAGCTATATGAATGGCGTTGAACGGATCATTTCGAACGTCAACCGGATAATGGTGTCATTAGTCACAGATTGTGACTAAAGGCGAGACGCCCCTCATGTGTTTTCGCAACAATTATGTGTTGACCAGACTCAAGGTTGTTTTATGAAGATCGCTTAGGGTCGGATTCTCGCCGCCCAAATCGAAAAAAACGTTGCGAAGCGTCAAGTGAAGTACGAGTATATAGTGAGGTTAAGTTAAATGATATCGTGTGAACAGAAAATTACTTTTGACAAAATGAACATTGAACTACAAACTTGTCTCTCACCAGTATTAGAAACTTCTGACAGTCTGATTTCTATTTATCACATATTCGCTATTTCTCTTCACCGTAACGTAGGTGTTTCACCTGTTATCTTGTGGAGGATAATGTGCACGTAATCCGGATGTTCTGTAGCTGTTCCTACTTGAGGCTGTGAACATTCACCGGGTAGTTGGGGAATTAACCAAATTCGGATATTATCAGTACCATACATAAAAAGAGAATTCACAAAGAAAGTATTGATGTAATGCATGTTATCTGGAAGCAAAAACATCACAATTCCGCAGTATATTTAACACATTACTGATGTGAAGCAGCTATTGAAGATACTATTTAACCTTAAAAACTAAGTGTTAAAATGTAATATCCGATGGTCTCTTTATATTTCAACATTTGTATCCCTGAGTCGTGCCAGTGGATAGATACCAAAATTTGCAACACTGCTTCACTGTGACATGAGTGATGCTGCCCGGTCAGGAATTTCTTAAGGTGTTACAATTGATTGAAGCAACTGGATGCGAGATTGGAATTTTAGAGTGAATTTTCATACGGTAGGCTACGCGCGCGCGCGCACCCACCCACCCACACCCACCCACC